TCCATATCTTGCATCACCTTTAGCGCCGATCCCCAATACCCGGTCCAATAAAGGGGGTAACAGTTGTCAAACTTTGTACCGTATTATCTAGTTATCACATAATCCCCGGGTGATGAGATTAAACATAGTATCGTGATTAAGATGAATCACTTATTCGAAGCCAAGACCAGAGGGATGCTAAAATGATCAGAGGAACGCCAACCTCACACCCAAGGGAACCAAGTTTGTCCACATCAAATTATTTCCTCAGTGATCTATTCAGCAGTAAATTTAAAAACGAAATCTAAATGTGCATTACATTAATGCAAAAAACAAAACATCAAAACAACGATCGTTTTGAAAAAATATCAGTAAACGATGCAGCTTGGATCTTACCTGTTTCTGAGTAGCTTAAACGTGTGAATTATCACCTCATAACTAAGCTCCGTTCATAGCCACGGAGTTTAACGTTACCGTGTAATCCGCTGTTTGAGTCTCTTGTAGTACAGGCAATGTGTTATAACGTCTGGCCAATTTTAAAACAGATCACTTGAAGTTGAAATCATAGTCCCTGGCAGGGTGTGCGTTGATATGGGCTGGCAAGTAGTTGACAGATCTTGACCCAAGATAACTATTGCATGCAAATGCAACGCTACGTCTTAAGTCAACTTGTTGACGCTGACCTCAGTATGAGCAAGATAGGGGTCCCTAACCTATTGTGCCTCTCAAACAGGTGACGTCTACAGTGTTGTGTTGTCATCCACGTTTGGCCATGATGCGGAACAATTAAGGTGAAGAAGGTCACAAAGATTTCAAACGCTGTACCTGTTCGGGACTCGCACCTTGCTCTTCTTTTATATATAAACATTTCTGTCCCGTGTTGGTGATTGGGAGGTTTCCAACAGAAAATATTGTTGTGTGTTTGTTTCTTTGTTTCTTTAAGCAGTAATTAGGAAAAATGAGTCTGGACACACAATCTATTGACTGACACCATGAGCAACGGTCTACTCATTTGGGATACGATGGAATACATCAACACTCTGTGAGTCTGACCACCAAAACCCGTCAGTCGCCTCCCAGATATATGCGTTAAGCACCGTTCTCGTAGGTGACAGAACCCTTGGCTCGGGTAGGAGTGAGTTTATTCAATTGTAGCGCGGATCTTCACGGGTCGGGTAGGTAGCATAGAGGGAACATATACCCCTCTCATGGAACATGCACACGTAATCATATCACAATTTGGGCAACAATTACTTGGGTGACCACTGTAATAACAAATGACATTAGTTTTCAGATGAACTGAGTATGGATGGGAGTAAATGGTGGCATGGTGGGCGAGCTGGCTAGGGCGCCAGGGGCTACTGATCCAGCGAGCTTCAGGTTACGGGAATCGAGCCCACCTTTGATCGGGCGTAAAAACATTGGCGTCAACTTTGAGTGCAGACTTCCATTGTTGTCACAACCCCTAGTGTACAGTACACAAACCTGTGCACTTAAAAGAACCCACGAATCCGTTGGTATATGACCATATGATGGCCACATGAATATGCGCAAACACCTAGTTGCGGATACAGCAACGTGCAGTAAACTTGGACAAAGTACTGTGACTATGTGTCGCAGTCCACCTAGCTGTAAACAGGTACCTCGCAAGGATGAGACAGCCGCAATACCTCGGTGCGCTTAGTGGCTGCAAGAGTTGTATGACCCCGGGGAGTTGAGATTGATAAAAAAACGATGTGCCGTTGAGATTGACATCTAGTGATCGAGGGAAAAAATGTCAGCGCCTTGATCATGTACTAACTGCATGGCAATGTGCGCTATATAAATATCCTATAATAATAATAATATAATCACTGAGTGAGTAGTCCCTTGAAGATCCGGGTTAAAATTGATCTTCAGTAGCAGCCCATGCTTGTCGCAAGAGGCGACCCACGGGATCGGGTTGTCAGACTCGCTGACTTGGTTGACACATGTCATCGTATCCCAGTTGCGAAAATCGATGCTCATGCTGCTGTTCACTGGATTGTCTGGTCCAGACTCGATTATTTACAGATCGTCGCCATACAGCTGGAATATTGAGGCGTAAAAATAAACTCACTGGAGTGAGTTAAATGGTACCTACGCCATGCCTCATGAGTTAGTTAAGATTTATAGTCACATCGGCAATATTTCAGCCATACCGTGACTCGCACATATCGTGACTCGGCTTTAGTCTCGGGCTCATAGCTTACATGCAGATCATGTGACACGACACAATGCATATGATGGTTCACACAAAATGAGATCTAAAATATAAGTGACCTTGATTAGGAGATGTAGATTGTACGTTATTATAGCCGTGGTGCATAGAGTATTGCTGCAGGCTTCTTCATATGGAAAGTTCCAGATATCCGAGAACTTGCTATGATGTGTTACGGATTCATGATGCTAATGGTAAGATAAATTGGGGTTTTCATATCCGTAAGCTATTATTCAGGAAACCAGGCTTTCGCGTTTATCTGGATTACTCCATGTATCTGGATTGTGCTAATATCAGCGTCTTTTTTGAGTGGCTGAGATGTAAAGAAATAGAGGAGTCATGAAGTGGTGCCGATGCACAAGATTTCAAATTTGAATTTGTAGTCGTGGTTTCAAACCTATAATGGGCGTTGACAAAATGTATAATTATATCCTTCTAAGCACGTACTTGAGGGTATATTTGTAATTGTCGTAGTGCAGTACATAAGTTGAGTAAGTTCGGTGTATGCTTGGCTAAACGCAAAATGATGATCCCCAAATGGTTTCGTGCATAAATTGTAATTCACGTTCCACTGACGTCCTTGTCGAATGTTCTGCCGAGCAGAGAAATGTTTTACAGCATTAATATTATAGAATCCTCCACTGATAAATTATACGAGTTTAGTATGTCATGAACAATTCGTTCAGGTATCAACAATAGTATTTAAAAAGAAATCTTCCAAGATAAACGTTCATGTATAATTTCCGCAGAAGCAGCGCACTTGTGTGTGCATGCATTGTATATGCAGAACTACGGGCCATGTGACCTTAAGTGAACATAATCTTGTCACTCGTTTCCCAGCACTGCATTGCTGTGTGGGTTTACAACTTACTTCGTTTGTTGCATTAACTTCAAAACTTCAATTAGTCCTGAAGTGCGTTATATGAGAGAACAGATAGCCTTTATGTTCTTCTGCATAGTGGAGCGAGCAGAGAGTGATTTTAGTTTACGTCGACTCAGCAATATTCCAGCTATATGGCGTGTGGTCTGTAGATAATCGAGTCTGGACCAGTCAATCCAGTGATCAACAGTATGAGCATCGATCTACTGGGGTACGAACTGAGGTACGATAACATGTTGTCAACCAAGTCAGCTAGTCTGACCACCCGATCCGGTTAGTGGCGACAAGCATGGAACACTGAAGATCAATTCAAACCCTGATCTTCACGGGTGTGCATAATGGATATCTATGGATAAAGAAACACGTTATGTTTGCCAATTTTGAAATCAAAGGTTCGCATATTACAATGTGATGTTCGTCTACGTTGCATTTACAATGCGCAACTAATCTGCTTCCGATCTCTATTCAACTACGGGTAGCTGAGTGGTTAAAGCGTTCACTCGTCACGTCGAATACCCGGGTTCGATTTCCCATATGGTTTCAATGTATGAAGATCATTTCTGTTGTCCCCGCCACGATATTGCTGGAATATTTCTAAAGCGGCGTACAAACCATATTCAAATACTCACTATTCACCTAGTCAGAGACAGTAGAATTGAGACAAAAGTGCTCACTTACATCGGCCTGTTTGCCTGTTCCTTATTCACAAGAAAGTGAGTGAGTGAGTGAGTTAAGATTTAACGTCACATCGGCAATATTGCAGCCATATCGTGACGAAAACAAGCCATAGAATGAAAAGTAGAAACATTTTAAAGATTAAAACCTGTCGACGATGGACAGTAAAAAGACTAGAGAATCACTGTTATAAATATAAAACTAGCGCAAAGTTAAAATATTCCAATTAAAGAAGACAATACAATATAAAATACGGGCTATAGAGCGCCAACAACTGAACGTAGATCACCATACTAAGGCCCTTCACAAGAAAGAAGCCTACAGGTTATAAAAACCTTTTATGCCAAATGTATCATTCTTTGATTTTGCATGTATCTCAATTCACAAGACAGAAAATATTCGAGTGATCTAATGTCAATATTGTGGTAACATATGAACAATAATACTTTAAGGTGGTACGGCAAGTCCAACTGAAAAAATATGCTCACAGATCGCAGAAATCCAAGAGCAACAAACCCCTTCTTTTTTAAGTTCCCACTATGTTATTTAAAGTGTAGATAACTATCTTTTGCAATTTGAGTAAAATATTGAACTTACAATAAAACCAAAAAACCAACACTTTTGCCATTGTACTCAAACGCCAGCGGACAACTCATGAGAAAGGCTGTAACTGCACGCTTCATCAAGTCAAACAGTTTGCATGACAATATTACTCGAAAAAAAATTAAGACCTTTGCTTCATTGGATAAAGGTATATTTTCCCGTGGAAAACAGATGCCATCAACAGCTTGAACCAACCATCATAGATGTGTTGCTATGGAGATTGTCCGTGATGTAGATGTAGACAGTCCACTGGGTCATGATTCATCCGTTGATCCGCCCTCACTCGCTACCAGTCATAGCTGACCTACGGACAATTCACAGCTAGGATCTATCCTGGTAAACAGGTCTTCAGTTCAAGAACAATCCTACGTTCCAAAGTCACCAGTATAGTATATATACCGTATTCTAAGTATTCAGCGCCCCTCTGTCGCATACGCCCTTTATCAGAAAACAAAACGCAGCATTTAGGGCACCAACATTTGGTTTGTTAGGGTATACATACCAGTGTACAGTTAGGTGTCTAAATGTTAATAAAACCATACAGCATTTACTTAATATACAGTTCGCGCATAATACACGATTTCGTTGAATCAAACCAACATGTCAACCGCGATAGATCTGGCTTTTAATCGTCTAGCCGCCTACTTCTAAATGCACTTGTGGATGCAACTGATATTGAACTCAGGACAGAACATAGACCTGGAAAGAAAAATGAGAGTATTATTGATGGCGCAAACATAATACAAACACCATAATAAAACAGTCTAGAATTGAAATATTCCAAGGAAAGCAGCAAATAGTCAAAGTACAACATATAACGAAATGCAATTTAAGTTACCTTGTTTCTGTAATGTGCGAAGACTCGCCAGTAACGACCCTCTTTCACAAATTATTTACTAGGAATATTGAAACACAATGTCATGTTCGCAGAAACAAAACCCGCATATATATGTAGTTTATTGGGACGAGAAACTGCCACCTTATGTTTTGCGCATATGCACGTGTCAGCAGTGGACCAGAATCTCAGTCAATGACATTACATGTTCTTACCTGAAAATACGTAGGTATATTCATATATCCCACTTCCTTTATAGAAGAAACCTGAAAACATGTAAAAAATGCATCTGAAATAATAATGGACATCAAATATTTACAATGTTGAGGGAAATCCGTTTGACTGGAAGGTGTAGTCGGGTCATTAAAAAGCGGTAAACCCCTGTTCAAATCCACAAGAACTCTCTGCAAAGAGCAGAGTCTTTATACGATTTCGACTATATCACAAGCATGCGTTTATAAAACACTATCAAACAGCGATGATAACGGGTGCTTGAGAAAGAGTGCATACCCTGCCCAACTGGTCGCACACTTCATAAACACATGCAAGGGCTAGTCAATTGTTCACATGAAAACCATTTAGAAACCTACTAATGTAACAAATGGTCCATGACGAGTAGGATAAGAAATCATATTGTAAGAGTAGCGGTTTTCCCGCAATGGCAAAACACTCTTCATGAATATGTCTACTAGTTATAATTATATCAAATGTTTTGCTGTGTATATGGCAAAGTGGAAGGAGAGTATTGAAAGGTTTTCAAGTTCTGCTCCAGTAAGGAGCACTACCACCAAATACAGTCGAAGCCTGGCAGCACGGAAACACAAAAAAATACTTTGTTCCGAATTCCAAAATATCAAAAGGCACCAGTACACCACCAGACCCTATCTATGTGCCGATTTGGGTGAAGAAATAGTGAATGGTTTAAGGTTCTGCCCGGAAAGAGCACAAACCACCAAATTCAGTCGAAGTAGAACTTGTTGCCATGGAAACGCAAAAAAAGTATTTTATTCAGAATTCCAAAACTATCAAAAGGCACCAGTACACCACATGACCAATCTATGTGCCAGGTTTGGTGAAGAAATAGTTAACGGTTTCCAAGTTTTGCTCCGGAAAAGAACACTACCACCAATTTCAGTCAAAGTCAAACTTGTTGCCAAGGAAACGCAATAAATATTTTATTCAGAAATCCAAAACTATCAAAAGACACCAGTACACCACCAGATCTATATAAGTGCCAAGTTTGGTAAAGAAATAGAGATTGGTTTTGAAGTTCTGCTCCGGGAAAAGAGGAATACGCACGGATGGAGCGCATTTTAATAAAAACAACACCAACACCCCCACCCCCACCCCCATGTGGAGGATAATTAGAGTACATCAATCCTCAACTTTATCTAGCAGTGCTCCCGACAGTGATGTCAACATGATACGTATTTAAAATAACCCATTCGTGACATAGATCGATTTACTCAATTCAAGGAGAGACTATCAAGAGGGTGCAAACTTACTTGCAATAGGTGGTCCCAGCAAATGTCCACCTCCGATGAAGAGACTAACGATTCCGTACGAAATAGAAGCATTTGGTAAACCAAGAAGCCTAGTTGTCATAGGTCCAAGAAGCGAATATACGCCATGGCAATATGTCCCATACAAACAACTGAACACAAGCTGAGCATTGTAACAGTTGGGCAATAATGAGAAGTGTTCCATGTAGGTTGTATTGGTCGAGGAGGTACCGTGCCAATGGCCCAGTGAAGAGACCAGCTCCACCCCCGGCCATGGACACTCCAAAAGCAATAGGTCTTCTTTTCAGAAAGTAATATCCTGGGACGACTCCAGCAACATTTGATGCAAGACCTAAAGCCAATCCTGTAACAATAGCAAAAGGCAAATCAGAGGCCATAGTTCTCGAGTATCTCTCACTCACTGGGGCGGTGGGGTTGCCTAGTGGTTAAAGCGTTCAATCGTCACGCTGAAGAATCGGGTTCGATTACCCACGTGAGGGCAAGGTGTGAAGCCCATATTCGGTGTCCCACCGCCTAAGAATTACTGAAATATTGATAAAAGCGACATAAACCATACTCACTCACTCTGCAACACACCATTTATCTAGTTGTTCCAAAACATACCTAACGAGTGAAAGCAGGTAATATGCGATTATTCTAAAAAGAAGTTAAGATAAATGGCATTCAACTGACAGAGATATGTTTTTCCCACCCTTAGTTCGCAGCGTTAAGCATAAAATCGGTGTACATTTTAGCCACTATCATGGTCACAGTGGTGTATTATGTCGAACCCCAAAGGGGTCATATCTGGCATGACCCTGAACACAAACATGTCCATCATGTGGATGTTCGTGTAAAGATACAAATGAAAATAAAAAAAACCTAAAGAAATTTATTCACACTCTAAAAACCACACAGTTTCTGTTGCTAAGTTATAATTCACGTCTGAAATTGCTAATTCATGTTTCAAGTTTCAGCTTCCAGTTAAATTAAGTTAATTGCGGTTAAGTACATTGATGTTATCAATTACATCCATGTAGCTTTCAAGTATAACATTTGACAGCATGTCACCTCACAAAGAAAAACTTAACACGGAAGACCATTTCCTAAGCATACGTCCCAAAGCACTAATATGACTGGAAACGGTTGCGTTACCAAGATGTGACTCTTGTGGATAAAACGGTAAATGGAGATATTCCTACCTGTCACCAGTCCGTATGTGATTAATAACCCCAACACTGTTTGACAGAAGTATGCCGATGTCATCCCAATCAGCATCAACACCCCGCATATCATAGCTGTTTTTCTGGAGCCTAGTTTCTGATGAACCATACCAGCAACAGGGCCTGTTGAAATCAGTAAATCAGAGATTAGTGCTCTCGATTTTGGATTTGTGTGAATGTCAGATTCGTTTAACTCGCTTTTGAGAGAAACTGAGTCGTACCACTGCTCTTCGGCTTTGGAGTACGAAGCTCCTGAAGGGACATTTGCGTAATTAAAAATAGAAAAATAATCTCGTAATAACGACCTTTAGATCTCGTTATAACAACTTTCCAAACACTCGTAATAACGACTTTTAAATCTCGTTATAACGACTTTTGGTGGCGTTCATCTACTTCTGAATTGGGTCTTCTGCATGGACTGCTTGAACATAGAGTTCATGGTTGGGACCAACTTGATGAGCATCTGTTCTTTACAGTCCTGCATAACATCCTTGCTTCCCTTGTTTGATCTGTAGCCTGGCTGAAATATGCTTCCCTGACATAATGTGAACATAGTACATATTTTGAAACTAAACACCAATGCCACCTTTCTTCACTTTCTGAACTAATTTCCGTTTCATGTATTTGCTTTTCTTCTTTTGTGTATCTCATCATGATTAATATATACCGGTATAGTTATGTGTACTGACTTTAGCAAATCCTTAGTATATTTAGGTGTGAAGGTTTGTGCTCTGTATAAGAGGCCATATTATTTCATTATCACAATGGCCAAGTTATAGCAAGCAGTCACTGCGCATGTTTTACCTGGTACTTCAGCTTAAATGTTGTCCGCTTAAAGTCATATGGCTGCTATGGCAACTAGGGTCACTCACTCACTCGCCCACCCACACTTTCACACACTCGCTGTCATCCACTCACTCACTCATGGGCAGTGGGTAGCCTAATGGTTAAAGCATCCTCTCATCACGGGTTCGATTACCCAAATGGGGACTATATATGAAGCCCATTTCTGGTGTCTCCCGCGTGATATTGCTGGGATATTGCTAAAGCAGCGTAAAACCATACTCACTCACTCATTCACTATCACTCACTCACTATCTATCCCTCACTCACTCACACACTCCAATCTGTTCCACTCAGCTCAGCCACTCATTCACTATCGTACACTCACTCATTCATTATCGTATACTCACACGGCTCCGCTCTACCCTGCTCAGTCACTCACTCACTCACTCAGCTCATTCACATCCATCCACACAACAGAAACATTTCCTTGTCCTACTGATGTATTAGAACTGGATCAGATCTACAAGTTGCTGCTGGGGATCGATATTAATAATCCACATCACTCCATATATACACTACACTTGTTTTAAGAATCAACCAGAACTTAATAATTCACCAAACTGCATGTAACGAGAATTTGTTGAATAAATCAGATTTATGGGAGGGTTTGCTTTTGAAACATGTTTCCCACATGAGACATGGAATACTTCCTAATGTAGATAAGACTGAGGACAGCTGTCAGAATGTTTTTGAACCTTAAATTTGTTGTTTGGCCAACTTGGGTCTGCCTGCCAAATCTCTTTTGAAGACGTATATTCCTGTTCAGAGTGATTAAGAATGTATTACTGACTGACTGACTGAGCATGATGTTACGTCGTGTTTAGCAATATTCCAGCAATATCAAGGAGGGGAGACACCAGAAATGGGCTTCACAAACTGTACCCATGTGAAGAATCGAACCCTGGCCTTCCGGCGTGACGAGCGAACCACTAGGCTATCCCACCGCCTCTAAGACTGTATTAACCTATTCTAGGTTATATGTGTCCATATATTTGGGTATTAAAGAAAAGATGGATAATAATTTACAATAATAGTTGTCTAAAAGACACGTATTTTTTATCTGATGTTTATGTTAACTTCACTCTTGATATACTTGTCCTTATGGGTTTCAGTAGGTCTGTCATAAATGTTTGACTTATGATAGTCTCACAGGTCCCATCAGGTGAGAGAATCATAGTCTCACAGGTCCCATCAGGTGAGAGAATCATAGTCTCACAGGTCCCATCAGGTGAGAGAATCATATTCTCACAGGTCCCATCAGGTGAGAGAATCATAGTCTCACAGTTCCCACCAGGAGAGAGAATCATAGTCTCACAGGTCCCATCAGGTGAGAGAATTATGGTCTCACAGTTTCTATCAGGTGAGGGAATCATGGTCTCACAGTTTCTATCAGGTGAGATAATCATGGTCTCACAGTTCCCATCAGGTGAGAGAATCATGGTCTCACAGTTTCTATCAGGTGAGAGAATCATGGTCTCACAGTTCCCATCAGGTGAGAGAATCATGGTCTCACAGTTCCCATCAGCTGAGAGAATCATGGTCTCACAGTTCCCATCAGGTGAGAGAATCATGGTCTCACAGTTCCCATCAGCTGAGAGAATCATGGTCTCACAGTTCCCATCAGGTGAGAGAATCATGGTCTCACAGTTCCCACCAGGTGAGAGAATCATAGTCCCACAGTTCCCATCAGGTGAGCGAATCATGGTCTCACAATTCCCATCAGGTGAGAGAATCATGGTCTCACAATTCCCATCAGGTGAGCGAATCATGGTCTCACAGTTCCCATCAGGTGAGAGAATCATGGTCTCACAGGTCCAATCAGGTGATATAATCATGGTCTCACAGTTCCAATCAGGTGAGAGAATCATAGTCTCACAGGTCCCATCAGGTGAGAGAATCATGGTCTCACAGTTTCTATCAGGTGAGATAATCATGGTCTCACAGTTCCCATCAGGTGAGAGAATCATGGTCTCACAGTTTCTATCAGGTGAGAGAATCATGGTCTCACAGGTCCCATCAGGTGAGAGAATCATGGTCTCACAGTTCCCATCAGGTGAGAGAATCATGGTCTCACAGTTCCCATCAGGTGAGAGAATCATGGTCTCACAGTCACACTTATGCGACGTCAGGGTCTCCTCTCTTCCTGCCAATGGTTGGATATATTTATACACCAAGCCTCTGCTGTGCAAACCTTGGGATGCGACTTCCATGGAGGTATCAGGAAGGCAAGCAGGGATGCTACGCAGGATAAGACCAGATGCTCATCAAGTCGTTCCAAACCATGAACTCTATGTTCAAGCAGTCCATGCAGAAGACCCAATTCAGAAGTAGATGAAGGCCACCAAAAGTCGTTATAACGAGATTTAAAATCGTTATAACGAGTTTTTTAAAAATCGTTATAACGAGGTTTTTTTCTAGTCGTTATAACGAGATTTAAAGTCGTTATAACGAGATCTAAAAATCGTTATTACGAGATTATAAGTGGTTATTACGAGATTATAAGTCGTTATAACGAGATTTGAAGTCGTTATTACGAGATTGTAAGTCGTTATTACGAGATTATTATTTTTATTGTTGGTTACGAAAATGTCCCTCCAGGAGCTTCGTATTGGAGAACAAACGCCAATTGCAGGTCGTAGACGCTTATCACTTCTGAGAAACCTACGGACAGGGGTATGGTGCTGTCAGTCCTAGACTCCACCATGGAGAAACGAGACAGGGATAACAGATAAGATAACAGTATTCGCACAACATACGGACAACTCTTGTACATCAGACATCAGGGCCAACTACTCAGGAACCATTATTTGAAGATTGAAATGTATCTGAAGAACTTCATCAACTTCTTAGAATATATTCATTTAATCGATGTATTTGTCAAATATTTAAACGAAGAATGAACTAGCACTTTGTTTAATTTCAGTAAAACCAGAAATATTCTTGAAATACATAAGAAATAAGATTCACAAGGAAAACTCTAGGGGCAGTTGAATCGGTTTTACGATTCCTAAATTATGTTGGGGTTGTGTTCATACATTACTATCAGATAGTGATGCAAGTGAAAAGGGTGAGCACATCCTGCATATTAAGACCCGTAAAGGTCCGGGTTAGAATGAGTCTTCAGTAACCCAAGCTTGTCGTATGAGGCGACTAACAGGATCGGGTGGTCAGGCTCGCTGGCTTTGTTGACACATGTCATCGGTTTCCAATTGCGTAGATCGATGCTCATACTGTTGATCAGTGGATTGTCTGGTCCAGACTCGATTATTTACAAACCGCCGCCATATAGCTGGAATATTGCTGACTGTGGCGTAAAACATTACTCCCTCGCTCACTCCTGCATATTAATATTAATGACACGTGCACCCGTCAGAAACATATGCAACTGCTCTCCATGAAACAGACACAAGGAATGTCATGGCATAGTTAAAAAACCGGAAACAATATTATCACAAAAACCAACGAATACTCTTCAGAATATGATGTTGGCAACTTTAAAAACTGTTGATCTTAGAACTTTGATACATCAATATCTTGTGAGACAATAACTGTGATATCAAAATGATCAATGTAGAATGTGAATTCCGTTGGACAGAATCGGTCTTACCACTTAGAGAAGTAGTCCCAAATAACGTAGAACCAATCCAAGACGTTTTGTTATGTCATCTTCTATTTCTTCCATTATAGCGATATTTATCACTCCAAAGCTATATCCCATTAGTCCAATTGTAAAATGGATGCTGAACGACGCTGCCAGGGCCACCCAAGCATAACCATGGTCTACGTCTCTTGTAAACCCCATCTGCAAGCATAAAGCATACCTGGACAACAGCTCATTGCAGATATCATCTGCAAATATGCTAAAATATGCATAGGCATCAGACTAATGGATGCAGCGAGTCAATTGTAATGAATAATAGTTGCAACAGATTGGAGCGTCAATTACTGTTGTTTCCAGTTTTCAAATGATGGTATGGACCGGAGTACTTAAGAATTATCATCCTTTTAGTAGTGATACACTGCACTGGATAGAATACATTCTTTGAGCGGATTCGTAAGAAAACAATAAAGGGTAGACAAACAATATGTCAGGATGAGTGAGTATGGTTTCATCCCATTTATGGCAACATTTGACCAATATCACGACGTGGGAACCTGAAGTGGGCGAACTCAGGAGTTTGGCGTGACTATAACCATCAGACTACCCAAATGCACCGCCTGCCCCACGAAGGCTATCCGAGATCTTCTGGAGTCCGACTTGCAAAGCTATCAGGCGTTTCTGCGTGCATCTGACTGTGTTCTCAGGATTCAAGATACGAACTTGTGCTTCATTGAAGACTTTTGACCGTGACAAATTCTTACATAAATCCGCGCTTAGTGACTGAGAAGGAAGACTACAATCACGGTGAATGTGAGAATAAATCATTCCATAGCCACGAAGCAACGCCCCAAAAGACGCCTGATGCTTTCTAAAGCGACTCTGTTCAACGTAAGTCATTCATTTTAATCAGTGGAACTATTGGCAGCAACAACAATAGAATATGTATCCAAACGTCGCACTTGCGATATCAAAGAAGGTGTTATCCATAACGTTTGTCAATATTGAACCTTATACCGTGTGGACTATCATTCACCATGTGTGTTTATGAATGGCCAATGAAGTTAATCTGTGTACAAACCAGACACTCGGTATTTAACTGAGACTGAGTAGCACTGACAATGCACGTTACACCACGATCACCAGATTCGTTCTTTAACCGCCACATCCACACAATCACGTAGTGCAAATCACATGCTTCATCACAAATCACATAAACTCACTGGACATAAAGGACAGCCACATATGAAAATGGTTATCTGTGGTGCCAAAGTCAAACCACAGTGCGCCGCCTCAGAAATGATGCAGACGGATGCAGGCAGCCTTCAGCCCTTGTACCAGTGGCGGGAACCAAACTAGGGCTCTTGTTAATGGATATTACTGTTTGCAGAGTTGCTTTGATTTCTTTATGAAAATGGCCTAGAGGCGACATTTTTAGCTTATTCTTTAGTCATACTCTTACTGGTTAGTTATTGAATTTATTACCCACGTGGTCAACATATGGGAGTTGCATTCTAATCTCGTACGTCACACGTGTGTCGTATCGCGTTGACCTGTGTCGTAACGACTTGACCTGAGATTCTAACGATTTGATTGGATAACCGATGACCTCTCAGTTAGGTCATGTTGTGACGGAACTACTTTTTCATTCATAACAAACACGTGGATCCATTCATTCTACAACTAAATGCATTGTGGGAATGTAAACATCGCGAACGTTGCCGTGTCTCTGTTTTATTGTGAGTCGAACTGAGACATTATACCCGTCGAAAAAACGTAAATGCAATGTTTCCACCAGTGATGTTAGCCGAATGAAGCAACTGCAAACCAAGAAACGGGGTGCTACGGAGTAGTTTACTGTAGGAGGCTGTACGAGGCGAAGACAACTGACATGCATCGTGACGTCGGTTACCAAGGCAGTGACGTCATTACAGTGACGTCATGCAAATATTGTACTACAGTACAAAACTCTTCCGCAACCTCTTTATGAAACCGGTTTCGGTTTGAAACCAAAATATTAACAAAACTACGTTATTTTGTCAATTTTATGCATGTAAGACGTGGGTAATAAATAAAATACCACACTCGGTCTCATTACATACGAATTATACGAAACTCGTGACCTTCCTATGTTATCTGACCTCGCTTTCGCTCGGTCAGATACCATAGGAAGGACACTCGTTTCGTATAATTCGTATGTAATGAGACCTCGTGTAGTATTCTCTATTTATGTGAATAATAGCGACAAAACCCTGTGTTTTCATATTCATAAAAAAATCTTTGCTGGGGGAAGGGCCCAGTGTAAGATTCCAACTCTATCATGAGCATATTATGCGTCAGAATTTGATATTGTCTCTTTATTTCCGCGATGAAACTTTTTTTTGATTCCTCAAAAGTCATTACATTATCTGAGAATATTTTGGCAAGAGTCGTATGGCGCTCGTTAAAATTTTCGCAGAAAGAGCATGCTCGATTTTACCTCAAATTGTGAAATGCAAACACGTTATTCAGATAAGCAACATACTGCTTGTTTACCAAAACGGTTCCACATCTGGACATAAATATTTTTAAATCAATGTTGATGCTGCAGGAATATTGCTTGGCAATTTGAAAGTTCAATAAAAGGGATAAAGCCTTAACCTCTGCTGAAGGTCGATTGTGCTGTCATCAAATAACAATAATACCAAGTGTTCGCGAAAAGATTAGCTATCTTGACCAAGTGTTACAAACACACACAAAGGGGTGTCGACAAAATTAATGCATTAAGAACAAGTGAAATCTGGCAACTGCTTTGGACATACTTTTTTGTCACTTATGAATCAGATTTGGAAAGGGCCTTGACGCTTCTACCGTAAAAAGTTTCAATCTTTAGAATAGAATAGAATAATACTTTAATGCCTTTTTCAGGAATTTGTGTTACATCAGCAGAGCTACTGACACATCAGAGAGATGCAAAACATATTTACATAAATTCATTGATTTAGGTATCTTCACATTTGTTTAAGAGATATATGGTACTTGGAATAAAGGATGTACGGGCTCTCTTAGTTTTCACAATTGCAACTTTGTAGCGGCGGCCTGAAGGGAGGAGGTTGTATTCCCAATTTAAGTAGTGAGTACGGTCAGATATAATTTTGACAGCTTGATTCACGAGTTGCCGCTCATATATTGATGATAAACATTCCAATCTGACTCCAGCGATTTTACTTGGAGTGTTAACAATTTTGTCTATTTTAAATTTGAGATAACTGAGAGTGACCCGTACCAACAATGGAAGGAAAATGTTAAAATACCCTGAATAAATGCTGCATAAAAAGATGACATCACAGATGGGTAAACATTAAAATATCTCAGTTTACGCATGAGATGAAGACGTTGTTCACACTTTTTGTATAGGGCTTCAGTGTTAGAGTTCCAGTTCAGCTTAGAGTCAATGAAGGTTTCCAGATACTTATACTCCGACACTGTCTCAACACATTCACCGTTGATTATCACTGGAAGCATTTCTGTGGGCTTACTCCGAAAGTCAATTATCAGTTCCTTTGTTTTTGTGACATTTAAGTGTAAGTGGTTTTCTGCACACCAAGTGGTGAAATGATTAATGTCCTCTTTATACAGTTCTTCAGAATCAGTGTCGTTCAGTTTGCCGTCAATTGCTGCATCATCTGCGAACTTTACAGTTGAACAGGTTGAATTCGAGCGTGCACAATCATTAGTGTAGAGGGTGAAAAGAACAGGAGATATTACATTGCAGCCATGTGGTGCACCAGTGTTGGTGGTCCGTTTACTCGATACAGTCCGTTAACTTTCACGTACTGCTGTCTGTCCACAAGAAAGTTTTCGATCCACTTGATGAGGTATTAGTTAACGCCTATGTCTAACAGTTTCTGTATAATGATATGTGGCTTGGTGGTGTTAAACGCAGATGAAAAGTCAGAAAAAGAGAATCCTGATGCATGACCTAGGTGTCTCTAGATGTTTATAGACATTATTAAGGAGTGACAGTCCTCTCCTTGACCTGTAGGCAAACTGAAGCGGGTCCAGTATGTCGGCAACTTCCTGTCGGAGATGTCCCGGCAAGATGCGTTCCAGCGACTTCATTGCTATAGATGTGAGAGCAACCATAGGCCCTCGTGTCTTTGCGGGGATTAAAGATAGCTTCACAGTATACATCGGGGGTCATCTCAAAAACATTATTTTTTTAATCTTTAATCCTCGCAAAGACACTAGGGCCTGTGAGAGCAACTGGCCTGTAGTCGTTGAGTTCTTTAGGTTGTGTCCTTTTAGGAACTGGTACAATTTCTGATGTTTTCCAGACCGAAGGAATAACGTGTGTATTCACTGAGAATTGAAACAATCTAGTGAAAACTGTACACAGTTGAAGTCTGCACTGCTTCAACACAATGCCGCCAAGGTTGTCAGGTCCTTTTGCTTTCTTGATGTTAATTCTGGAGAAGCTTTGAATGACGTTAGCTTCTGATATATGGATACGACTTTCACTATCCTGTACGGCTTCACTAACTTGAGCTCTCTCATTGGTAAAATCGTGACTATGAAAGCGGCTGTAGAAAGTGTTTAGTGAGGCCTTGAATGTTGTCACATTTTCTAACAACTTCTGACAATAATCGCAAGGCAATCTTCGAAGCTGATGTTGACACGGCTTACTCGCTTGTAATTTGAGTTGGATTAGAAAGTTGATTTTATCCGGTGGAGAACATTTATGCATAGACCTAAATACTAAAGATATGTGGCTGTCTTATGTACAGTTCAGGTAAATCGGTGAAAGGGAATTGTCTATTTGATGGCTATTGAACGACGTCGAATAGCCTATATTTCAACATTCCTATTCATATGCATAGAGAAACAGATTCGCAATGACTGGAACCTATGTGGTACCCATGGGAATGACAAATGCTTGTCTAAGTGTCACACCTTAAAGTCTTTTATCTTGTCATAGAGTCCGATGTGAAGTAGTTTGTCTTCATGACGGATCATGCACATACTATAACATATGGAACACAGGAAGAGGTCGAACTGGACCTCAGCAGAAGGGTGTTC